TATAATATATAATGTAAAAAGGCAATGACCAAATTTAGAAAGAAAACCTTCAAACAACACTAAGCCAAAGCATGCTGTGTTTAGTTATTTTGTTTGAAACTTTATCATTCCTTTATAATTTGTCCAGGTTTTAGCTGACTGAGAAAAGAACTCTTTCTCCATCTTTGGAAAGAACTTTTTCTATAATATCTCATAATAAGTGAAGCATTTTGCTGGACTTTTTTCTCAACACCTGTGATTAATGAATGCTGTCACGATATTTTTATTTCTAGTATCGCAGGAATAGGAAACCTCACAACAAACTAAAGAAACGAATTTGGGGAATGGTCAATTTTGTCAACATGGTAAGCTTCAATATAATTTGAATAAACCTAAAAATGCAAATGTAGCTGAGATTTTAGGGAAGATTCCTGAGGTGACTGCTATAGGAACCTTCATACTGAGGCAATACAAACCATAAAGATTCAGCAAAGAAAGATGTCTACAACTCACAACTTGTTTTTGTAATGGTTATGGTTGATTAAAATTTATATGAAGCTTAAAAGATTGTAGTGAACATGTTATTCTGGTTTCCATGTCAAACCACAGGCAGTAAATCACCACATGACATTTCTGTTACATGCCATCTTAGAGTATTGATTTAAAGTAGTACCATTCAGTTTATAAAGAGAGGCCAAAGGAAGATGCTGGAAGGAGTGGTCCATCTAGACTAGTGATGGTTCATTCAACAGCTGAGGGGCATTTATCTATGTGCAGTCTGGGACTCTGTACTTTAAGCATCTGTGCTCAGTCGTAGGTGCATACAAACATTCATTCATTTTCTACAAGTAAGAAGGTTTGGAATGCTAGGCCTAAATGCTGCTTTGCCTCCTTCCCACAGCCCTGGACCACCTCTTCTCTTTGTCCCATTCTTTCAGGCCTTTGTCTTTCAATGTGGGCAATTTCCATTAAGCCAACAAGATTCTTTCCATAATTGTTTCTAAAATGCTCATCGTGAAAGGCATACTTTATCTTTGCTATGATCTTTTGTGCTATTGTTTTCATTCATTCTTGTAGTTTCTATCCCTTTGCTGAAATCCAAATCTTGACAAAGATATTTTTAACATATTAATCTCCTTGTTAGCCATGGACATTCACCCAATGTTCTAGGTAATATACCCTGCACTCTAATTCAGTACTCATTTTTAAGACAAGAGCTGCACTCCTTTTTTAAAATATGCCTAACGAGTTGAAGCTATCTTTTCAATACAAGGGAGTATAATAAATAGAAAGGGTACTTCTGGAAAGTTGACTTTGAAAAGAATGCTGTCCTTTTTAACAGATTTATAAAACCTTGAACATTCATGTGTCATTGGCTGGCCTTGAAACGTGGACAACTGGAGACAAAATAGAAATAGATTTGAATATAGAAACTACCTTACTGCGTTTTTCAACCTGGCAAGAAACAGTCCTTAAAAAGAGAAAGAATTTTGATCATGCTATTTTACTGAGGTATGTGAGTCCTCTATTTTCCTTCAGATCAGGTGGATTATTAAAAAAGAAAGCGGGGCTTAGACGATGACTCGGCGGGCAAGAGAACTTGCTGCGAAATTTGAAGTTCTGAATTCGAATTTCAAATACCCATGTCTGAACCTGTAACCTCAGCACCGTGAGGCGGGCAGAGACGCAAGTACCACCAGGGCTTGCTGGCCACCAACCTACCTCCAGGTTCAATGGGAGATCCTGACTCAAGAGAGTAAGGCAGACAGTGATAGAGCAGGACACCTGACATCCTCCTCTGCCTTCTTGTGTTCATGAATGGACACACATATGTATACACACACATATATACACCACAGGTACATATACCTCACACACTTGCACACACAGATTAGAAAGAAAAAAAAGCAGAAGAAATAAACAACATTAAAACATTTAAAAGCAAACTACTTTAGGTTGGGCTTGGGTATTTATGCACTGTAATAACCAAAAGTTATGGGGGATGAAGTTTAGTAAAATATCATCAAACCCTTGGAAAGATCAGAGGACAACTTGTGGGAGTTGGTTCTTTCTTTCCACCAGGTGGGTCCCAGGGATTGAACTCAGGTTGTCAGACTTGACAGCAAGCACCTCTACTCAACCGAGCCATCTTGCTAGGGTGATGTAAATTTTTGAATGCTAAAGAAAAATGCACAGTACTATTTAAATGAGCATAGGTGAACAATGTTTTACCTTAATAGAATTGTTCTTATTCCAAGCAGTAACTTTTCATATCAACAGGTTGTTTGCAAATGGGGATAAGGTAAATTTCTGTTCATTGTCTACCTGGGCATCCTAATTAGGATCTGTAATATGTTGAGTTTATTGCACACCTTACCTCCTATACTGACATGACTTTATAAGTGGCAAGATACCGTATATGGCATTTTCACAGTGTTATTTTTACATTTAAATGATTGTAGAAAAGTCTGCCTCTAAATTGTCCTTCCCTGGTTCTTTGTCTCCATTTGTCAAGATTTCCAGAGACCGGGAAGTCCAGAATGCCACGCTCCTCCAAGAAGCAAAGCAAAACACTGATATTTAGATGTAGGGATATAAACATTTTATTAGAAAAGGAAGAAACTATATCTATTTAATAAAAAAAGATGGACTGCAGCAAGTTATTTCAGCTGTCCTTTTCTGTATTTGAACTCTGTGATCATCTAGGTGTTGTCTTCCAGCCAGCCCGTCAGAGCTCTGTTTCCAATGGCCCGACTCTAAACGTTTATCTTGAGCCAAGCCAAATTTGGATCCTCACAACATAGACATCTACATTGGTCCTTTTAAGGAATATGAGAATAGCCCTCCCTTCACATGAGGACCCTTTAAAATGTTTGATTATAGCTGTCATATCTCCTTGAGGTTCTACAAGTGACTGAAATTTTAAGTGTTTTCACTCATAATCAATTGACCACGATTATAACTGCTTTCACTAAACTTCTCTCCTGCACACTTAAAAGCTTAATTCACTATTTTGTTGTAGTTTTTGTTTGTTTGTTTGTTTGTTTGTTTGGTCCTCTGCCATTCAAATTGTTTTATCCAGAGCTGAGTTCGAAGTAGACTAGAATCAAGAAAAATAAGGTTCTTCTTCATTTTGTTTTTCTTAGAAAATACTTTTTTCCTCCCTATTTCATCATAAGACTGCACTGGCTCATTTAGTGCTTCTAGAGTTAAATTGAGTTTAAACTGAGTCCAACATCAATTCCAGATATCCATGTGTCCATCAACTCCAGAAATGAGAGAACACTTCTAAGTACAAAGGCATTACTATCATGGTGGTCCATTGCAATTTGAATGTGGTGTCCATTAAAATGCTCAGTCAGATGAAAACATGTTCTTGAATCTTGTTTACAGCGGGAAGTGGCTCTACATGCCTGAGCAAGGGATTAGCTACCCAGGGGGAATGTGCCTGCCTCTTAGTTCAGTCAGTGTTGTAAAGGTAAGTTGTGTTTTACTTATAACACTTAATCAAAATATTTGAATTAAATTTCTGTAATTTTCTGTATCACATTGAGAAACCAAATTGTATTTGTCGTATATTCTAAAAATATTTCATGGAGAGACTTACATTTCCTTTATTAAATGAGAAACAAAGTGTCATAAAAAACTGTAAAAGGATAATAAAGGTAAATCAGCAGTTTCAAGTTCAAAAGGACATTTTATGCAAATCACCATGCATTGATTAGTAAAACTTTAGCATATTAAATATATTTATAAAGTTAAGTAGGTTGAAGATAGTTGTTTTATATAAATAAAACATAAACTGTGATATAAACAGTTTTGTGCTGATAAAAACACGTACAAAAGCCACTTAATGTGTCATATCAACGCAGTCCTGCAATTCATGTTCAGAATGCAGAAGACCTGTGATCTGTTGTCCCACCTCGGCTATCTGAGTTTTTGCCAAATCTTGAAGCTTCTAGTAAGTGCTGCTTAAGTAATTGAGAGATTATGGAAAATATGAAGACTTGTATTTCCTTCCTTGGTATCACTTTCTGATTGTCACTGTCTCCAGCTTAAGATCCCAGCTAGAACTTACTAAAATGACTGCCTACACGATTTATCATAGTTACTTTTATGATTACAGATTTGACTTCAGTCAAACAAGATTTGCATTAGAGACAGTCTATTCTAGAGGGTGTTACTACTTCAATTACGATATTTTAGCCACACAAAGAAACATTTGAAACTTTTGGGGAAACAAATGAACAAATTAAAAGCGTTGCATTTGTTTACCATACATAACTGGGTGGCCTATGCCTCTTTGGATTTTGTTTCTATGATTTAGAGAGATCAGAGCATGAAATATATCTATGTTGCAAGGTGAAAACCCATTTTGCCATGGATTTATATCTCCAACCCTCAGATCTTTCTCATAACAGAAACTCTCTCCACAAGATTACAGAGCATTCTCATGCAATCTTAGAGTGTAAATTGAAAACAAGCACTTCAAATCTCTTCCTGTGAAACTTTGGATATCTGGCACAGGGAAGATTTCAATAACATTTGTAGAATTGTATGAAATGCTTGTCTGAGTCCATTTGGGCTGCTGTAACAAAATGCCAGAAACCAAGTGGCTATAAACAACAGAAATGTATTTCTTACAGTTCTAAAAGCTGAAGAACCCAAGATCAAAGTTCTAGTACATTTGTGTCTCATGAGGCTCCACTTTCTGGGTTAAAGTCAGAGTCTTCATGTGGTAGAGTAGAGAAAAGCCTCCTCTGAGCTTTTTCACTAGGGCACTAATACCACAAGTGGAGACTTTCCCTCTAATCCTCAGGGCTTATGGTTTCAAAATAGAAGTTTTGGAGGAACACAGCATTCGGTCATAGGAATGCTAGCTAATAGATTTTACCTATTTGCAAGAGTCTGTCAGTGCAATGAATTTGACTATAATACACACCAAAAAAATCAAAGTTATAGAGGTAGAAATACATAAAAGCCATTTTCCCAACATAATTATAAATTACAGTTAAGCTGAGGCATACAGAAAGGAAAATTAAGTCCATTACTTCCTAAATAGGAGGGCCTTTAAATCACTAGTGTAAAGTGCTATCTAGTACATCTCTGATGAAGATTTTCTCATCAGGATCTTCTACCGGATATAAACATAGTTGGAAACAGAATGGCTCATCAGTTGGGACACAACCTTGGGATGCAGCATGATGAGTTCCCGTGCACCTGTCCTTTGGGAAAATGTGTGATGGATGGTGGAGGAAGGTGGGGCTCCAATAATGCAGAGGCTGTGTTTCAATATTTTAGAAATACTTGCAGGGATGAGTCTATCTGTTTAGGGGCACATTCTTATTCGGTGGTATTTCCTAGAAGGTGTGGTACAAAAATCAGGCAGGGTAGCGAGTTTCCCTGTTAGGACAAATATTATCAACTGGTTGTATCTCTTTTTAATGAGACATTGGAAGGGGTTCTGAAATGCTCTGAAATGCCAGCTTCACATACTACAAAAATACACTGTGATCATCTAGTACCAATCTCTACCAAGAATCCTGGAGGAAAAATAGATTCTATGTTACTATCTTCTCTGTGAACTGTACTTTCCTCGTAAATTTTCATTTTACTCAAATGTTATTCTCAGCAAAGCCTTCCCTAGCTGCCTGGTCCAGCTCCTCCACCCTGTTTCATCACACACAGGATCCAGCAATTCCCATCTCCATTTTAGTTTTATGTAATGTTTATCATTACCTAGTACATTCTGTGCTTAAACACTGAATTTATTTATTAAGTCACTTTTCACCTAGAGTATAATCTTTGTGAGACTAGTGGTTATGTATGTTTTGGTCTGTGTCAGAGTGCTATTTCTAGAAAAGTCCCAGATACATCCTAGGTACTCTATAAGCACATGTAGAATGAATAGCCAGTGTTCCCCAGTGTACTGTGGGCTATCTTGTGGTCAAGTAAGAAAATTTTCTGTTAATGTAGATAGTTTCTTCTATATATTGATAGATGAAATGATATGAAGTTGGAGCTGGAGGGATGAGCCTAAAGTTAAGAGTACAGATTGCTCTTCCAGGGGATATAAATTCAATTCCCAGCTCCCACATCAGGCAGCTTAAAACAGCTTGTAAATTCAGTTCCAGAGGATCCAACACCCTCTTCTGGCCTCCATGGGCCACACTGGACTCACATGGCACACACAAATATGTATAACAAGAAAGAGAGAGAGAGAGAGAGAGAGAGAGAGAGATTGAGTTTTAGTATAAAAGGAAATATTTAAAATCCGTAAAGCTGTTTCTGATATTATTAAACAGTTTATTTCAACAAATACTTATAGAGAACTACTCTATACCAGGGACCATGTCAACTCACTGTTATTTTAAAGAATTCAGCATGATTTACTTCTTGCCTTGAAAAGTTTGTAATCTTTTTGAAATGGAAAACACAAGTTTATATTATTTTATATTACATATTATTTTAAGAAGTCCACACTACAGGGGTAATAGGGACAGCAAGCAGAGATAACAATCCAACTGTGGACAGCAGGAGGGATTTGTTGAAGGACAGTCAGCGTTCCCACTCATTGAAACAGCGTGCATTAGATGTGTTTCTGGAAGACATTTCCAATAATAAAGGTACCCAGACTGGCTCTGCTCTGAGTTAGCATTGGTATTTAATCTTTCTCAGTGCCTCATAAAACTTGTATAATTGTCCTGCTATGATGCACTCATACGATAAAGCTTTATTTTCACCTTACCACATCTCTAGCATTCCTGCAATAAAATTCAGTAAATGCAGCCAAACCCAGTACCAGCAATACTTGAAGGATCATAAGCCAGCATGCATGCTCAATAATCCACTGCCTGTCGAAGTTAATGATGACTCATTTTGTGGGAACAAGAAAGTGGAAGAAGGAGAAGAGTGTGACTGTGGACCTGTTCAGGTATTTGCAAGCGGTGTTGTGTTTGAATTCCAAAGTTGGTGCTTGGCTGGAGTCTCAGCAGCGATGGAGCCGTTCCTCAAAGGAGCCATCATATTCCTAGAAAAGCTTTAGGAAACTGCTTCATTTCAAGGTTTCTCCGAAGTCTCACATCATCTGTAATGATCTTGCTGGAAATTAGCTGCCTTGTGTTTTCCTGGCCTATACATTAACTGACTTGCCCTGTAAGACGGGCTCTTGAGTGTCATTAAGTCTGGTCAGGCACAGTAGGAAGTGGCTATCCTAGAAAATATCTCATAGTCAGTCAACTGAGTTTTGCTAAGAGTCTTAGGAGGCTTGCCAATGTAACAGTTGGACAGTTCCAATTATTAGAAAAATTTCTTAATGGAGGGAAAAAAAGCCTTCAAACTTTTCATATACTTATTGAAGTTTAGAAAAGTTTCAGAGGCAAATTTTAAACTAACTCTTAATCTGATTTTAGAAGCAATTTCTTTAAGAAGCACATCAAATAGGTGTCTTTACTTCTTATTACTCAAATTAATAAGGGTATGTAAATCATAGGGGCATGCTGTTAAAATATGAAGCCTTGTAAGTCTCCAGCACAGCTGCAATTTTGCATTCTTACCAACCTGCAGGCTTAGCTGTTGTTGCGATCTGAGAATGACTTTTTCTGTATTTGCTCTAGACACTGCACAGTTCAGAAGTGTTCTCATAGGACAGCAATCAAGAGGCTATAATCAGGGTAGGGCTGACCTGTCCAGAAAACATGAGATTAATCCTCAAAGGTCTCAGAGTAAAGATGAAGAGGCTCCTGGCTTTGGGAGCTACTCCCCTTGCCCCTGTGAATTCTTTGAAAAGGTTCTGCAGCTCCATTCTAATGTACGAAGGTGTACCTGATCTGATGCAGACAGCTGTCTCTGAAATTTTAATTTTGTTCAAGGACATAGGACACCCAAAGTGATTGTCCTAGTGTTATGACATAATAATACATTAAGAGAAAAGAAATTTCAACTTGAAATTCATGGCATCTTGAGCCAGAGGAAAAATCAGAGTTTTATAGACTGTATTTTCTCAAATCAAACAAGGAAATGGTAAGATCTACTGGGGAGTGTGGGTCACTGGAAGGTTGGAAAGTCACAGACTTTGGATTCTATTCCTGCTAATGAAAGTTTACAATGCTGAGCAAGCAGAAGGGAAGGCTACCCAGTCCACATCCCAAACGCGCGCTGTACGCACTGATCTTTGTTCCCCATACCAAAGCTGAGATTGATGCATCTCTATGGAACTCTTAAGAGACCACACAGACATACAAGCAATTAACACCTCAAATAGGAGTCAACACTAAAACCTACTTGTGATGTTTAAATTTTGTTTTTTTCCAGGAGTGTACCAATCCTTGCTGTGATGTAAACAAATGTCTACTGAAGCCAGGGTTCAATTGCGCAGAAGGAGACTGCTGTGAATCTTGTCAGGTCAGACCTTTAACCCCAACTGGGAAGGAAATTGATACCCCAACAACAGTGAGCCAACTAACGGGGAAATAGACTATAGATACCTAGGTACTAGATGCCCATGGTAGAAGTTAGTAAGTAGAGAATACATTCTAGAAAAAAAAAAAAAAAGATCAGAAACCCAGATGGTTCCACCTAAGGATTTATTGAGCCTTTTTCACCCAGCCATATTGTAAGTTCACAAAGAAAAGAACCATGCCTCAGGGCTGCAGAGATGGCTCAGTGCCTAAGAGCACTGGCTTCTCTTGCAGAAGACCCGGGTTCTAATTCCAGCACCCGTATGGAAGCTAATAACCATCTGTAACTCCGGTTCCAGGGAATCCGATGCCTTCCTCTGACCTCCATGGGCACTGCATGATGTGGGTGTCCTCACATGCAGACAACACACTCATACACATAAAATAAAAACAATAAATATTTTTAAAAGAAAATTAAAAGAACCACATCATACACATGTTCAAGCCTTTCTAGGATCTGGCACATTTAAATGCCTATTGAACCCTTAAAAGAAGACCTTCATGAAACCCCTGAGCAACGAGAAGCAGGGCATTTACAGTTTGTTTGGAAGAATCTGATGTGATGTGATGCGATGTGATGTGATGTGATGTGATGTGATGTGATGTGATGTGATGTGATGTGGTGACGTGACATGACGTGACGTGATGTGATGTGATAATGTGATGGATATTCCTAGTTATAGGCAGCACTTCTCCAAATGGGTGTGGGTTCCATCAGTGGTATGCTAAAGCAAGGATAGAGAGATGAAGAAAGCATCTTCCCATTTTACCTTTTTTTGTCTATCTCAACTCTGCCTGTGGCTGTTCTGATACCAAACTTCAAAAATACTATCTAGCCATCTCTAAAATTACACAAAAGCCATTACATTTACAAATGGTAACAAATCTTATAGGCTTATAGGCTTGTCTAGATAAATTGAGTCAACTTTCTGCCTACTTTTTCAGTCTTACCAACTCATGTGTCAAAGATGCTGATCTTTGTTTCTCTTCAACAGATAAAGAAAGTAGGGACCATATGCAGACCAGCAAAAGATGAATGTGACTTTCCTGAAGTGTGTACTGGGTACTCACCTGAGTGTCCTAAGGACCAGTTCCAAGCCAATGGGTTTCCTTGCAAGAATGGACAAGGCTACTGTTTTATGGGGCAGTGTCCCACTCTGGGTGATCAGTGCTTGGAACTGTTCAATGATGGTAAGAAACAGTCACAGGGGATGAGGTAGAAAGACAACAGCCTGCATTTCTCTGTTATTGCCCTGCAAGAATTTGGGGCAATTGGGAGAGATGGCTCAGGGGTTAAGAGCACACTGGCTGCTCTGGCAGAGGACCTGGGTTCCATTCCCAGCACCCACATGGCAGATAACAAACATACGTAGTAGTTTCAGCAGATTTGATGCCCTCTTCTGACCTCTAAGGGCATTGCACGACATGGGCATACATACATGCAGGCAATGCATTCATACACATAAAACAAAATTAATAAATGGAATACTTTTAAAAGTTTAAAAAAAGAATTTGGGACACTTGGAAATAATATAATTTGTGACATTCTTCCAAATTTTCAACTACCATATCTTAGGATGTGACCTCTATTGTTCTTACCTCCAATATTAATTGATTAGCTCTGTGCATGAACTACAGTATCATTATTGTTTTTGAGTACCTCTATTCATACTTAAAATATTCTCCTGACTAATGGGATTATTTTTCATTGTTTATTGATTCCATTCAACTATACCACTACAAGGTATGATTCAGAAAGTTCAGAGTGAGTGATTTATGATTCTTTCATGTTTTCATTGTTTTATTTTATCATGTAATTTTGTATCCCAGGAGCACAAGAAGGCCATAATATCTGCTACAAGATGAATAAAAAAGGAAACAAATTTGGATATTGCAAAAAGAAGGGAAACAAATTTGTCCCCTGTGAAGAGAAGTAAGTGCCCTTTGAAAAACAGTCTTTCATGAAGCTGTCTTGAAAAATCAGAAAGGCTCCTATTTTGACAGCTGCTTGCCTCCTTTTGCTGAGAGATTAGGAGAGTGGAGCAGGAAAGGAGAGCACACAGATCCCTGACCCCTCTAACTGGTATTTATATACTGTGTTTATGAGCTGAAGGCCATGGAATGGAAAGAGGAAAGATGGAGGAAGACTGGAGGGAAAGAAAGGGAGGAAAAGAATGTTACCCAAACCGGGAGACGGATAAACAGGAAGAATAGAAATATGTTTAAATGGGGGTTGAAGGAAAGAAATGAAGACCTAAAATAAAGGCATAGGTCAAAGTGAGAGAAGTGGGAGGATTTGGAAGTGAGATTCGACCTTAGCATGAGCTAAGCTGTACTTCCAGGTCTGCTGGCCGGGATTCTGCATGGCCTTTTGCATGTGACAAACAGAACCTGACTGAAAAGAACAATCACAAAAATCCCACAGTCAAGTCCATCTTTTCTTACAAATACACTAGGGGAAAATGGACTGATACTTCCTTTTGCTTTCAGTTACTGTTTCAGTTACAGTCCCAGCTGTACAGTGGGTATTGCAAGAGCAGCAACCCATAGGCTTGTGGGAATCACCCAATGTGCTCTATGCAAAGATGTAAGGCAGAACTCTCGGTGTGCCCGTGGAAGCTACAACAATTCAAGTTACTAATATCGTTTATGAACTTTAACAAATACTTATTTTTGAGAATAAAAGAGAAATCTTTAAAGGATTATCTTGCATGCTTTCTTCATCTCCGTTCCTAGGGTCAGAGCTTTAAATGCCGACCGGTTTTCTCAAGACTACTGTGACCACTCGAAACTGCTGGAAAACTGGGTTTAGAACAAAGTGACTGGGTAGGCAGCCTCCTCTCTGAAAGCATGCTTCTGTTACTGGTCTTAAGTCTGGGAACTCTGCCTTTCTTTCAGAGACATCAAGTGTGGAAAGATCCACTGTACTGGAGGCCAGCACTCACTACTTCTTGGAGAAGACTATAACTTCAAAACCCAAAAGGAGAATGTCACAATCAAATGCAAAACCATGTTTCTGTATCATAATTCTAGAGATATCGGCCTGGTTAAATCTGGAACAAAATGTGGAGAGGGATTGGTAAGAGGAAAACACTTTATTTGATTAAAACTTGTTGGTTTGGCTGTTCACACGTCATCGGTTGCTGTAATAGGTTCCAGAGGGGTTTATATATAGAAAAACAGAAAACAAAAGTTGACATTTTCTGTAAATTATTGAGGAACGGGGTAGCAATTATACTGTGATACTATGCTTGCTTAATTTTAATTGTACCAAATATACATAATTGTTATAAATATGTTTAATTGGTGTCTTAAAATAGACAGCTAGCGGCCTATTTTCTGATTAATTTGACTGTAATGTAGGCATGCACTTTTAGGTTATTTGTTCAATTATATTTACATGCTTGTCAGTAATTGGGCTGGATTCAGACATTGAAAGACGACTGTACATGGGAAATCCATACATGAAATTTAACAAAGCATTACGATCCAACAATAAGAAGTGATTCACTGTCCTAAAAAGACCCTGTGGTCTGCCCAGTCACCCATCCTGCCTTCTTAGCCACTGGCCTTCTACTTTTTCTGCACTTCGGTCCCCATAAATCCAGACAGTTGTGATCAGCTGACATGCAACCCTTCAGGCTGGACCCTCCCACTTAGTAGAATGTATTGTTTCCTCTGTGTCTTTTCGTGACTTTCATGTCCTTTCATGTAGCCTTTTAATGCGCCACAGTCTGTTTATTGGCCCACCTGCTGAAGGACCCACTGTTCCTTTCTGTTTTGTGATGTTATATGATTCTCCCTTTATTAGAATGAACTTAATTTCATATTTTGGATAATATTTAAGGTGTTTCTCATATAAGGAAGCAATTGATTGATACTCTCACAGACTTCATGCCTAAGAGAAACATATAGTAACAATTCTGTTGTCCTGAAGTCACTGCTCTGGCCAAAGTCTCATTTGGTGAAGTCACTTATTTCCTAGAAAAGTATAGTCAATAAAATACACAGCCAGTGGATAAATGAATTGTAATTAAGAAATTAAAAAGCAAAGATAGGATATTAGAGAAATGGTTATAAACAACAAGATAAAAAATCTTGAGACAATTCTAATTGCTATCTATATGTTTATTATGAGAATATTTAAATACACTGAATTATATTATTTGTACAAGTAGATATTTCAATTTACCCAAAATATTCAACATAAATAAGAAGACTTATTGATATTAATAAAATAGACAATCATCATTTTAAAAGCTTAGATCATTCTATCAACTCAAAAATTAAAGAAACAAAAATATTGTGGAATCTTTGCTGGATTAACATCTAAAGGATTGATAAGGACAAATATTTAATGACTGAGTTTACATATAACATTTACATTTACATATACAATACACCTATCTGTCATGTGTACCGGATTTCCACTCACAGATGATTCTCCATGTAGAATTTTACAACAGACAGGAAAGAAATAGATTGTGATTAAACCACATAGAATGTTTCACAGGGGATGGTGTGAAATTACACGTCTCAAAAGTCATGCCATTCCAATTCATAGGCGCTACTTTTCTCCCAGGTGTGCAGCAAAGGTGAATGCATACGGAAGGAGAAGGCCTACAACACAACTGGATGCCCCTCCCAGTGTGATGAAAATTCTGTAAGATTTCATTGCCTCTTAAAATAGCGTCTATTTTATTTACCTTTTCTCTTGTTTGTGAGTACATATGCTGATTATTTTAATCAACAGTATGTTTTATATGCATTTTATGCTTAATAAAATCAAAGCAAAGAGCCAACTCAGATATTATTACACATCGATACTGCCAATGTTGCAAGTAATTGATTATCAGATTGGTAATCTAGGAACACAGTCGCATATGTACACATAAAGTTCAAACCTGAAGTTTAAGGTTTGATTTTCTATATCACTTACAGTTGAATTTCATCAGTGTCAACATTAACCTAAAGCTTTTGGGACAAACACACACTTCCTAAATTTGTTTTCAGCTCAACATTGTTCAACATATCAGTTTATATTTTGGAGGAATATTTTCTCAATTCAAGAATTCATTTACTTATCAGTACATAGCAGACACTTTTCAAATACTGAATATTTATAAGCTATGCCTATATGGATATGTGAGTTAGACATAAAATTAACATTAACCTAAATGAGTTGTAAAACATAGCTTCCATCTGTTATTTGATAAAAGTATATGATTGGCTGCTCTTCCAGGTGGATGACCATGAACCTGACTGCCAGTGCAAAGAAGGACACATAATCACAGACTGGGGAGAAGCCATAAATCTTACCAGTAAGCATTCTAGAACATAGTAATGTTCACGTATATCACCCAGCCAGAAAGCTTTTCTTCATCTGGTATATTTGTTGTGTTTCTACATGGACTTCTATGGTTCTTTTTGCTCATTTGCATGTTTGGAGACCCAAACTGCACTTACTACATTCGCCTGTTAGAATGAACATATCGTTTCCTAACCAAGTGTAACTTATGACATCTGAAACCCCACAACACAGAGGGGCCTTTTCTATTGTCAACTAATAGCAAACAAAGCTTTCCGTGATGACTGTGACATTCTTTCAGTATCATAGAATCTTGACACTCAATTGCTAATACAGATTGTAAATTGTGTCATGTTTTGACATTTTATTCTTTGTTGGAAGACTGAGAGAAGGACAATCAAAGTCCTTTGGGAAAGATATAGGATTGTAACCATTCTTTAAGTGTTTATGTTCTACAGTCCCAAAGCCCATGCCCTGTCTGAAGACCCTTTGCTGATGTTGCAGGTTTCTCCATCATGGCTGCTGTGCTTGTCATGATTGTGATTGGCATTGGACTTGTCATACTATTAATTCGTTACCAGAAATGCATTCAGTTGAAGCAGGTTCAGAGGTAGGTCTGCATGTTCCATGTCAAAGGAGACTGTTAGTAAGAACATATAAACTGTGTTGCCATAGAGCATAGCAGTGGGGTAGGGATTAAACATCTCTTACTGAAGACCAGGTAAGAACAGCACTAAGTCAAACCATTCCATGCTTGTTCTTATCCACATGCTTATCTGAATGGCTCCCAAACTTAGCTGCATATTGAAACCATGTACAGATCATTCAGAAAACATTGATATTGGTTCCTCCCCAAGACCCTGTAATCTAATTGTTACAAGGTACAACCTAAGCATCATTATTTTTAAAATATTTTATGTGATGCCAGGTGTGGTGGTGCACGCCTTTAATTCCAGCACTTGGGAGGCAGAGGCAGGTAGATCTTTGTGAATTTGAGGCCAGCCTGGTCTACATAGTGAGCTCCAGGACAGCTGGGGCTACAAGGAGACCCTGTCTCAAAAAGACAAAAAAAAATATTTTATGTGGTTTAATTTTAACCATTTGTCTTATCCCATACCTTGTGTCACTGTTCAATTTTCTCTCTTGACAGCTCTGCTAGAGAAATAAGGGGAGTAGAGAATAAAGGATACTTTGCTAATGAGCAGCAGTCAAAAACTGAGCCGGTCCTGAGAGATATCCACCCTCTACATGTGAGATACTTTCATTTGCAAGAATTACTGAAATGTGTGTTTTTATGGATTTTTTTGTTGGTGAGGTATTTCATTTTGTTTATAATAATAATAATAACCATTATTATTATTATTTGTATGTGTGTATGATATGTGTGTGTTTAGGTCAAAGGACAACTTTGTGGAGTCAGTTTACTCCTTCCACATTTATGTGGTTTCCAGGGATCAAACTCAGGTGGCCAGGCTTGTGTGTCAAGCCCTATTTTTATAAGCTGAGTTTGCTGGTCCCATAGGTGGGAGATGCTTGGAGTCATTTAATGAGTGTGCTGTACAAAAGAAGCTCTCACTCTCTAAGGGGAGGCAGGAAGAGGGGAGAACTCAGTCATTTTACCAAGACCATTTCAGAAGAAAACATATTGACTAAATAAAATATCTTGTGCACTTCTGAAAAAAATGTATAACTGTAAGCCATATTCTAAAATATACAACAAATTGAATTAAATTCAGGAGAATAAAATAATATGCAAATGTGTTCTCAAAATAATAATGTATTATAAATAAACAGAAAGGTACAGAAAAAAATCTCAATTGGAAATTCAGTGACAAACCCTAAGGGACTCACATGTCAAGTGGAAAATATATAGCCCAGGCTGGCCTCAAATTCAAAGCAGTCCTCTTTAGCCAGGCCTGGTAGCATGCACCTTTAATCCCAGCACTTGGGAGTCAGAGATAGGCAGATCTCTGTGAGTTCAAGGCCAGCCTGGTCTGTATAGCACATTCCAGGCCAGCTGGAGCTATAGGGAGACCCTGTCTCAAAAAGACAAAACAAAACAAAACAAAATCAAAGCAGTCCTCCTTCCTCAGTTTCCAGAGTCCCAGAATTAGAGCCATGTGGCACCATTACACCTGGCCAGGCATTCCTTGTTTTTAAAGTTAAGTAATAATAAAGAAAGCATCATCCTTGACAAGGTTATATGAATGAAATAATATAAATGCCCGTTAGGACCAAAGTCTCAAAGGACTTCCAGAGTCCCGGAATTAGAGCCATGTGGCACCACTACACCTGGCCAGGCATTCCTTGTTTTTAAAGTTAAGTAATAATAACGCATCATCCTTGACAAAGTTATATGAATGAAATAATATAAATGCCCGTTAGGACCAAAGTCTCAAAGGAAAGATTGAGAACTTCACACTTTAAATTTATTAATTTATGCGTATTTGTGTGCCTGTGTTTCTCTGTCTCTCTATCACTCTGTCTCTGTCTCTCTCTGTCTCTGTGTGTGTGTGTGTGCATGTGTGTGTGTGTATAATATATGTATGTGTGTGCATGTGTGTGTGTGCCCAAGCACCAGAAGAGAGCAGCATATCCCTTGGAACCAGAGTTACAGGTGATTGTGAACCATTATGTGGGTAGTGGTAACCCAAACCTGGGTCATCTACAAGGCCAGCAAAGGACTCTTAACCACTGGGCCATCTATTCAATTTTAAGATCCTTACATTTAAAACTAAGTATTTCTAGATATAAGTACCAATAAAAGTAGACTGATACCAGTATTTTAAAATCCAGATATTTGGGGGTTTGATTGTTGTCTGGTTATACAGTTCCAGATGTTTTGGACCCTGTGCCCAGACACTTTGCTTCCCATAAACCCCATGTCTTACATAATGCTGAAGGTGTCCTTCCCCAGCTCCATGACACATTCAGGACACTGAGCAGCATGTTCCTACTGAACGTCACTAGAGTATTTAGTCATAGACAATTCCTGTTTCTTTTGTTATATGATGGTTTGTATCAATTATATTTATCCATTTGTGCCTTTTATTATGTCAGTGGTAGCTCTGAGATGGTTAAAATAAGTCTTAATTGTCTTCTTTTATGAACAGAAAATATTATGTGGTAATTTTTTCAGTGTTCATGGGGATTTTCTGGCATGAAACACATGATATTATCAATCTCATACATTTGACTCAAGGTTTAAGTGAAAAACTAGTCAACGTAGTAAGACGTTTGGTGTCTATTTAGCACTCAATGTATGTTAATTGTCTATTATGTCTCATGTGTTATTGCAGTTACTTTCCTAATTACAATTTTCCTAAATTAATATGTAAATTAGGTGCATTCTAAGAGTCAAGTGTCAAGTGATGGTACTTGAATCAAAGGATGGAGGTGAATTGTCAGTGAAGCTAGTCAGAGGTTCAAATAGAGGCGGATGTATTTGTTTCATGTTGAGACTGCAGTCTCAGGTCTGGCATAGTGGTATAGCCTGCTACCGCAGGAGGAGATGGAGGATCAGGAATTCAAAGCCAGCTTCAGCCACGTGAGACTCCAAAATAAAACATTACAAACTCCTTAATGCAATGGCCTTTGACGTTGAATAGGGACTGCCAAGAGGAGAGGGTTTGATAAATATCTGTTGAATGTCAGAATAATTCAGTTTAACACTGATGATTCGTGTGCTGTGATAGAGTATTACAAACAGTTTACGGGAATAGTTGGGCTCCCAGATCTCATCTTTGGGGTTTAATATTGCCTGGGATAGAATTATATGAATAATAATGATTTAGATAAGGTGTTTTTGACACAATAACTTCATATGGAAGGTCAATCCTCAGCAAATTGTGGTTTAGAGAAGAATCTGTGAGAGATAAACACACACACACACACACACATACACACATACACACGCACGCACGCACGCACGTTTTATTAATGATGCCTGGCTTCTTCTCTCTGGGACGCAACACCTCTCCAGGGTCCAGCTTCCACTGCTCGATGCGTTCCAGCTACTTGACTGTCTTCTGGGTGTTACTAGGAAGCACATTGAAGAGGGGAGCCTCAGTGAAGCACATCTTTGCTTTAATAAGGAGTTTGGGTATTCCCAAAAGTCTTCCAGGTTCAAAGGAATGTAGGTGGCTGTGACCTTTGAGGACACCAACAGTTAGAACTTCTGAAATTTGAAGACAAACATACCCATCTGGTGCCCCTCAAAGCCTAGTGTTTAAAGACTCTCCCAGTCTTTTCCCAGATGTGTTTGCTTCACAGGACAGATCTTAAATTTACTCGTTGGCTCTAGGACAGCAATTTAAGGAAGAGTATTGTTTCCACACCTTTCACTGTTTGTGTATTTACTGGGACTGGGGCCCAAGGATGTCAGAAAATATATTCTGTGCTCTGGGAGAGAGTCATCCTTTTTTGAGTTCTAATTGCATGTTAATAACATCTTTTCATCAACAGACAATAGCAGAGTCCTTGGAGAGTCTTCCATCCAGCTTTTCAAGTCCCCACTACATCACACTGGTACGTCCCTACCCTCTTTTGCTATGTAGTCTATGTCCGTTTCATTAATCATTTTGATTTCATTTAACCACCTGTTGGTTCCTTAAAATGACCCAATAATAATATCACATATTTCCTGGGTTGAAGTAGTATTAGATCACTAGAGTAGAACTTGATCCCTCTAGTGTGAACATGTGTTTAGTTTGTTGGGGGAAAGGGGGAGGGGAGAGCCATGCAGTCCTGGAGCAGCCCTTGCCTTTGTTCAAAACCTTGGAACTTTGTTTGTAATAAAGTTCTTGGCAACTGGCTTTGATTTAATTTTTTTCCTTTTAATTAGAATATATAGTGATGGGTTTGATTATGGTATTTTTATACAGTGTTTGTGGATCTTCCTCCTCTGCTTCTAACCCTCAGTGCGTCGCCCCTCTTAACCCTTCTGTCCCCGAGACCCTCCTTGTCATTTTTGTGTCACATGTGTTCTATCACCCTCACTTCTTACTCCTTCCTTAAAACCCCCTCTCCTCTCTCATGGTCCCCTTTCTAGTTTCATTATCTGAACCCATGTGAATACTGCCGCCCTAACATGGGTGTCCAAGTGGTAGGGTTTATCTCTGCAGTAGAGCATATATGGGTATACCCAGAAGAGGTTTAGCTGGGTAGTCATTGTCATTATTGAGGTTGTTTTGTCATTTAAATTCTGCGTTTGAAATTAATGTCTCACTCACATCATCCTAATTCTGACTCCAGTATTGAGGGGCAGAAACACAATGATGGTTTTCACTGAGACTTGAGGGCTCTGAACTCACAGCTAGCCAAGGTAATGGAAAATAAAGGGAAACTATTTCAGAATCTCCAAGATGAGCCAAAAACATGCTCACCCTCAAAGTCTCACCATAGGGTACTTCACACTGAGGGCTAAGAGATCAGCACGCCAAGAATCTCAAGTCTACAGTTTAAGATCAGTCCTTGTCAATACATTTTCTTTTTGTGGATGACTGTATAGCTGTGATAAGAGTAGTTTTCAGTACATGGTTCCTCCAGTATCACAGAGAGGATCTCAGACTGTGGAGCAGGGTATGCAAATTTCCTGGAGCATTCCCCCACAGAACCTGTGCAGTTCATCTTTCAGAACTGATCTTATTGGGGTTCCAGTAGACACACCATCTGAATGAAAGCTCTAAAGTTTAACATGTTTGAAAGTCTCTTATTCATATATTCTAGGAGATTCATAGGCTTTGTCAGCATGATGGCTTCTGATAAGGCTTTACCTAACGGGAAGTATCTACTACCTCTACATCCATAACTATTTATGAACAGCCTTTGATTTTCTTCATGAATCTAGAAGTGGCCTGCATATGTGTGGGCTCATGTGCATGTATGCATATGTATGTATATGTTTTTTGCAATGTCCACTTCAGTTTCTGATATAACACACTTTATTTATTATAGAAATCTGTCAGCAAAGATCCAACAGGAATAGAAGACCCCAGTGAAAATGACAAGGTGGTAAGCTCCTGTGACAGTGAACGCCTCCCTTTTTTATTTGACAAATCCTGTCTATCATCTGTGTTCTTTACTTACTCTGGCTAGAGCCCTCCATTCTGCTTAATAGGATACAAGATGTTTAAAATTGTTTTCACTGATATGCTGAAATTTCTATAAAACTCTGGGTGCATGTTTTAGACTAAGACTTTTAAGCTTCACCAAAGGATCAAGCTAGAATTCAACAGTATCAAAATATCAATATGTTTTAGAAATACAAAAATGACTTTTTCTCTCAGATGTTTTTGATCATACCCATGAGTTGGGCTTTCTTGAAGTATTTTAAAGGGTGCAGTGGTGCTGGTTACCATAGCAAAGGAACATTGTTTTACTAAATTGCTGCTTTACTAAAGTTCTTGCTCATCAAACCAACAAAGTTGAAAGGTGATTTCTCATTTGAATTATTATGTCTATTTTGGCAAATGTCTCAAGAATTGCTTTTGTCAGAGACACAAGGCAGCTATTTACTCCTTTTGTCGAGTTTCTACAATGCACTGGACACTGGATTCTTCTCCACAGAATATTCTTGGAGGGGAATCCTGGCCATGACAGATACACTGGGAGTGAGGGGGAGAAAGCAGGGCATTTTCTGATGATGCCTCCATTCTACAGTGACAAGGCTCTCCCTCAGAGAGTGGCGAGTGGAGGAAACACCTCAAGCAAGCATGTTATTTGGCATCTTGTACTATAATTTTACTTTCTTCCTATTGTGACTGGCCTCTTTATTTTAGAGACACATAATTAACCATCGCTAAGATCTTTTTTCTTTTAAATATTTGTAAGAATTTTTATTGAGCTTTTAAAATTTCATACAGTATTTCCCACTCACATCCAGACCCCCTCCCCCATCCATGCTTCCCCCATCCCTGTGCACTCTGCCATACATGCTGAGTCCTATTCATTCAGATGTTTGTACCCAATGTCCTTCAGTGTAAATGAGTCCACTGGAGTCTAGACAGCCCATCCAGTGGCCGTATGTCATGGCTAAGATCTTTAAAATTGTGAGTAAAAGTAGTACAACAGGGTCTGGTGAGATGGCTCAGCCAGCAAAAGTGCTTGCTGTGTAAGCTTGGCAATGGGTTCAATCCCAGATCCTGTGATGGAAGGAAAGAAGTGATCTAACACCCTCTTCCTGTCTCTGTGGGCATTGCAGGCACAGAGTGTATGTTCATATATGCATGTAAACACACACACATAGAAAACAGAGAAAACCGATTCCTGAAAGTTGTCCTCTGTCTGCCACATGTGTGTTGTGACATACATGTACAGCACTTGGGTGAGCATGCACACACACACACACACCTACCTACCTCAAACACACAATATGTAATTTTTAAAGTAGTATAATAGAATGCGAAAAGGTTATTTCAACTAGTACGTGAGAGACTTAAATACATTTTTATGTATTTTATAGAAAACCACTTAATTTTAACCATCTGCTTTCTGTTTAGAATTCAAAATTGGACATCCAGAATGGCTGTGCAAGGCTGGGCTGAGGATCCTCAATACAGATCTCCACAACCTTCCCTAGATATATGCTAAACAGATTTTAGTAGTCTTGTTCACGTATTCTTTATCCAGAGAAAAAATGTTTAAGAGAAATAGTTTCTTCCTGTTAATATTTACTTACAGAATTCAAAATCTACACATAAAGATATGCTACAAAAATTTTTCTATGGCTTTCAAATATGCTTTAGCTTAATGTAAAAAATAAGTCTCTCTGCTCTAGTAATTTTCCTTGAAAATATTCATTACTTTTGCAAGAATCAAAACTTGGAAAATGATCATTTATAGCCTCACATATAAAGAACAAAACCCCATTTGTGTTTGAATGTCTACTTCTTTGGGGAGGAGCATAAAAGCTCTTAGTTTCAACTTAGCGACCCAGGCCTGTAGTCCCAGCTGCCAGGGAGGCTGAAGCGGGAGGATCACAGATTCAGGATCTGCATGTCCTACAGAATGAAATCAAGGCCAGCCTTAGTGAGGACTCCGTAACAATAGCATGAAAAATAAAAATGGGCTAGGGAATCAGGGACATAGTTATGTGGTAGAGCATAATGGGAGACGCTCTGGGTTCAACTCCCATTACTACAAAAATAATAGTACCCACTTCACATCATTCAAATCTGGTTTAAATGACATCAGCAGATGTGCAGAGCAGCAGATTCAACTATCTGAGTAGCAGTGAAGGAGACAGAAGAAGGGTTGCTGTGACTGCTGAATAGTCTTAAAATTACATCAGCAGCTCTACCACTGACCTAGAAAAAAGCCCTGGATGTGGAGGGCTCCTGAAAGCTCTGATTTGCTAGGTTTGCCTTTCCAGGATTCCTTAAGAAGCTCCAAGGATGACACAGAGTTTAGAAAACTCACTGCAGCGTCTACAGTTCATGCTGGTCTCAGGATCTACTGACAGGAGCACTTGGTGTGCAAGTCTGAACAGTGGATCTCCACAGGTCCAGTGGGTTTGTGACCCCGTGAGGGGTTGTACTGCAAATGACTTCGTTCCCTTACACAGATCCCAGCCTCTAGGCTCTTCACACTCTGTTTCCTTGCCAGCTGTTAAGCCTATTGAAGCTCTTGCTTTTTTTTTTTTTTGCATTTACTGAAATAAAAGTCTCAAGTGTTAAATGAAAACTTTCTGATTGGATGCAATAACAGCTAGAGAGGAACAGAGCATGCGGTCCTTGGTGATGTTACTGTTGTGGTGATGTTGCTGTTTATTCTCCTGTGGGAGCCAGTGAAAGCCTTCATGGCTCAGCACATTACACCTGCAGGCTTTCCTAAGGCATCTGTAATTCTAATCAAAGCTGGCTCTTTAAGAAAGGATATTGGGCTGGGGGTGTCACTAAATGGTACAGAGCTCACCCAGCATGTGCAAGGCCTTGGATTCAATCACCATATGACAATTAAAGAAAAGAAGGAGCTGAAGAGATGACTCAGGCCTTAAGAGCACTAGCTGTTCTTGCAGAGAACCTGGGTTTGGTTCCCAGCATCCACGTGGCAGCTAGCAACCATCTGTAACTCCAATTCCAGTGGATCCAATGGCCTCTCCAGGCATTGCACAACACAGGTGCACTTACATACATGTAGGGAAAACTCTCAAAACACATAAAATAAAAATAAACAATTTTTTAAAGAAAAAGGAACTATAAATGATTGGTGTAGAACAGCTGGTCTGTAGTCCCAGCACATGGAAGACAGAGGCAAGAGAGTGGAAAGTTTGAAGGCGCCCTGGGCTCTGTAGTAAGCTCAAGATAGCTTAAGCTATATAAGGAAACTTTTCTTAATGAGCTGTGGCCTGTAGATGTAGCTTAGTGGTAAAGTACGTGCCAAAAACCTCTACATTGCAGGAAAAATCTCTGTATGGAGAGAAAAAAGTGCTTAGATGATAGATGATAGATAGATAGATAGATGACAGATAGATAGATAGATAGAGAGATAGAGAGATAGATAGATAAAGTCCATGTAAATCTGAGGAGTAAAAAGTAAAACTCCACTTCCAGATGTCTAAGTCCTGCTACTAGTGTTATGTTAAAAAACAGTTGTATCTTTGTGTCTTTCCACAAGGTCAGAATTAGTGAATAACAGCAAATTCACAAGCTATCTCAGTTGCATTGCTGCAGTTCTGCTTGAGAGCCAGCCATTGCCAATCATGGGTTCTTTTCTTCCTTTCGTAATTAGTAACATAACTCACAAATTACATGTTGATACTTCACACAATAACATTCTGATATGCAGGTAACAGAATGGTTAAGATAGAGTTGGCGAGGTTGCAGAGAACAGAAAGGCTGTCCTGATGGAAGTAGATTGCTGATACAGGGCCCAGGAGCCACTGTAGGGGACCAGATAAGATGTCTTATTATTGCAAAGGTATTCAGGTGAGTCAAATGTACATCCTGACAGAGGGCCATGAGGGTCAGTTTCAAGTGAATCAAGTGTCACAAACAGAAGAAACTGTGCTCAAGCTTGGGAGCATGGGCCTTTGCTGTAGCTGTTTTCCCGAACGAGGCTCAAGATGAATGACTGGGTGACCTCTAAAGAAGGCAGAGCCAGGGCAACTAATATAAAATCATGATGAAATAGAGACATCAGCAAAAAAGGTGTCGGCACAGGAGGATGTGAGAAGCAGTAAATTCTGTAGTTTAACTCTGGAAAGGCGCTTTTAAAACACTCAGAAAATTAAGTCAGAATCTATATTTGTTGTAGTTTTTGAACCTACATCAGCATCATTTCTATGGTACCAAGTGATAGCAGATATATTTTTACATCTGTTCTGTTAGGAATTCATCTTAGGTGATACAAAATGAGCTATAGAAATGATCCCCGAAGATACAGCCTTGGTGATTGAAAACACAGCACAAACTTTTCCCCTTTCCACAACCCACCACCAGCATCCTTAACACAGCACCAAGAACAAGTCTTTGCGTATCTCCATTTTTCTCAAGCCATCTATCCTGGCAATGACTACAGCTCACAGTGAATGGGCTAAAATTGGACTGCCACCTTCTGAAGAAAGGTAATAACTTCCTTATTAAAGAAAAAACATCCGAGTACTTGACAAGCTGTCAATAAAGTTCACAAAAGGACCACTAGGTGGCAGCATTGCCAGCTAAATTTCACCAGCTCTCTAGCTGCATTGAGTCTCTCCTTTAGTCAGATTCCACCGGATCTTCAAAATAATGACTTTAATAAACTTAAGAAATTTGTTAACTTCAGATTCTTAAATATGGAAACTTGTATGAATTATTCAAGATATGATTTTCTTCTTTACCAGGGTTTTGGGTCAAATGGGAAACGACGCTAGCATTCTGAAATCTTTGAATTAGAAAAGCAAGTGGCTCTACTCTGAACCTGAAGTTCCGTCTTCTTGATATGAGAACACAAAAAACCCAAACGACCCGGCTTTCTAAAACAATGAGATGTCGTTTTCACTGTGTGTTTCCTGCTCGTTTATTCTTCTAAAGGCCAGCAAATTAACATGGCCTACTGCTGTCATGGAAACTTGAAGAGCCCCTCTGCCTCTGTCCCCAAGGATGCATAATGGATGATCAGCATCAGGAAAAGCCGGCAGGCAGTCTGGGTGACTTGTCTGACTTTGTGATGGACCATTTTAGTGACAATTGATGTCCCTCTAGTAATCGTGGCCCAAGAGTGAGGAATATTGATCAGAGTCCTGGGTTTATGGGGAGCTTCCTGATCACTTTCCAACTGAAGGTCAAGCTTTTAGAAAACGCAAGAGCCTTTCTATAAGGAAGTGGCTGTCTTGCGGGCTTGACAGAATCCATTAGCATCTTTCATCAGGAAAGCTGTAATCATGAGCTACATGTAATGGATATTGATTGCTAAGAAAAGAAGATATCTATAACTTTAGACCTCGGGGATCTCCAGGGACAAAAGGCACAGAAGAAGGCTCCTGGATCGCAGGGATGCTAGCTGGGAAGACTATCAGGGCCATCTTACAGAATCTTACATATGTGAATTCAGAACTCAGAACTGCCTACTTAAGGAAATCAGTAAGTTGCTGGGAGAACAGACAGAATGTTTCCTGTGCATGCTGTGTGAAAGATGGTGTTCTAAGCACTTCATGTGTATTATTTCAGGTAACCTAAAAACAGCTCTGAGATGACTCTTATTCTCATTTGATAGCCTGAGAAATTTGACAAGACAAGTCAAATAATGTGCTAACAGAAAGATAACTAATTATTGGGGCAGTCAGAATCTAAAACTAGGAGGTTTAACTACAAGAAGTACGTTTTCCATCAGTCCTGTGTTAGTGCAAATCCAATTTGATTGCATTTACACACCATCAGCATCACCACCACCACTACCACAAAATTCAGACCTTGAACAAGTGAAATGAATGTATCTCACTCTCAATCTCTTTTTCTATCCACCAGAATTCTCCATCTTCATAGCCACATTAAGTGATATATGAGTTCATATCTCGAGAAAGAGAAAGCAGATCCAGACAACTGACTATGGCTGAGATGCCAGAATTCAAGGTAGTGTTACCATCTGTGCAGGGGCCCTAGATCGCAATGCCTTTTATGGCTTAGCAGGTGTTTTGTGATCCAGAAAACTCCTCTGTGATAACAAAGGCCTCAGATTCTAGAAGATACTTTCCCCACAGAACAGGCCCCTCCCTGGGTGGGTCTTAATTCAGTCCAGTGTGCCCAGGCGAGCTCTTTGTGACTGATGCTGCCATAACTCTGGAGAGCAAAATTGGCACTCAACAGCAGCTGGTAAGCCTGGGGTGACAATCTTAACAAAGAGACAGAGGCTTCTGTTAGAGCCTTCCTCCCTGCTTTAATAAAACAAGGAACATGTCAGGTGAGTGGTTGTTTTGAACACACAAAGGAGAGTGTCTACCTGACTGTCATGCTTCAGGGCATCTGCTAGATACTGCCACATATCTATGATCACAGGTCCTCAAGCTCACAGCTGGGAAATGGGAAAAATGAATTTGAACAGACCTCAGACCAAAGTGATGATTGTA